ATTCGGCCTACTGCGGTGACGCGACGCTCCTATATTTGCACGTAGGTAATACTAATCGATGCGTAAGCTGCTCTCGCGGACTGCGCCCCGCACGTTGGGTAGGCGGACTAACGGATTGCAACACCCCTGAAAACGTAGCCACGATTCGCCGCATGCGCGCAAGTTCTGCCGATTAATTGACTGACGCACAAAGACCATGCCGTGATTGACGCACCTCCACTAGTCCCGCGCGCAACAGAGAAAGAAGATATTTGCAGAGTACTTTTACGACTAAGCAGAGGGGAGTACAGACCAGGACGCCGCTTTTATCGTAGTATGACTCACTACGTCAGGGTGAGAGATGCAAAAGGAAAATCTTCAATTCCATGCCCACCGCGTTCGCCCTGAGTCTACTGCGTTGGAGGCAGGAAATTCTTCCAGCGCCGGGTGGCGTGGTGACGCGAGCGGTGGTAGGTAAATTTTACGGAGTTGCTTTGCGCTCTTGTAACACCCCCTTGAAGACATGTTGTACCGTTTCCGAGGCTGGTTGATTTAGAGCAATTCTGGCCAAATACTGATTCGTCCTGTTCGTCGGGGATGAGAGTAATCGAGAATTGGTTGTGGTTGAGTGACTTCTGCCGACATCTGCTTTTCTGCTGCAATGCCGAAGATGCTCAACAGAGTGTGCAGAGACGAGTGCACCGACGAATTGGTTAGTCTGAAGGCTTCTCCTTGCCGCGTCCGAAGCAAATTGCCATGGCGGACCGACGTGCCAACGCTCACGTCGACTTCGTGCAACAAATCACCTCGCCGAGCCGTCCTTGTTGCCTTGATTCAGCTTGAATGAACGGCTCGATAATCAGGGGTGTAAGACGAGATACCAACAACGAACATATTACGATTGGTGAAGCCAGAAGAATGCGTTGTCTGCTCTTCGCTTGGGATGCACGCTTTGTGGGTGGCGCACAGCTTAAGGCGGTTCAATGCTTTGGCTAGAGACAGATCACCTAGAGCTTTTTAATTTGGTGTGGCCTGGTAAGTGATCAGGAAAGCCTGAAGGTCTTCCTCGATAGTCCCCTCTCCACGAGCTTTTAAGAGTGCTCTCTTGAGGGTGTCAACGAAACGCTCCACTGGACCATTGGACTGAGGATGGTACAGGGGTGAGGAGAGGTGTTGAATGCCATGACGGCGACAGAAATGTCCGAACACGGAAGACGTAGACGGCGAGCTATTATCGGACCTCATGGCATCGGGAAGTCCATGCTGGCTGAAGATCCGCCGTAGATAAGGCAGAGTGGCGGATGCGTGGTCATGGCCAATAACGGGCCAGTAGACATTCTTGCAGGTGATTGCCTACATTCTGTTTGCACCAAGGGAGCAGTATGGAACTGACAAAGCGCAGCTTGACGAAGACAGGAAGAAACAACGACTCAGTCGTGAGACAGGAGTCCACAACAGAAAGAGTGTGGCGGTGCTGAAACAGCTGTTTGAGTTCTCCAGCGATGGCAGTCTTTGGCTAGTGTGGCTGAACGTAAGTGACAGCTTTGCGTAGGACAAGGTCATGTGTAGTTACGCGACGTATGTCAGCGACAGTAATGGAAAGACTGTTAATACCGTTCGAGAGTTGTTGACGAACCTCCTCCTCGACGGCAACAGAGACGGTTACGTTGTCTGCCTCTGTAGCGTGTTTTTAATTGAGACGGTAGAGACCGTCAGCCTAACTGAAATTCTGGGTGCGACAGTAGCGGATTTCGAAATACTAACCGAGGAAAATGATGACCCAATACTGTAGAAAGCTGGCTGAGCAGGTGGGAATGCCTTTTTAGAACCGAATATTGACAGTAGTGGTTTGTGATCGATCAGCAACGTGAAACGCCGGCCATACAGCTACTTTCGGAACTGTGTAACGGCAAGTACAATTACCAGGGCTTCCTGCTCAGTCTGCCCATAATTCTTCTCCTTGGGCGTTAGCGTGCGTGAGATGTGCATAACGACTTTTTCGAAACCATCCGGGAGGCGATGGGACAGTACCACCCTTATCCCTTGGGCGAGGACAACGGCAGCTACCAAAAGCTTCATAGCCAGGTCATAGTAAGTTAGTAGTGAATCGGAGCTCAACATGGGTTTCAAATGAATGAAAATTTTCTTTCAGGCAGGTCCCCAATGCTAAGGAACCTCCTACTGCATCAAGCGCTTGATTTAGCTGTGGCTCCGAGTCAAGTCTATTTCGATTCTGACAAGTTCGAACTAAGTCGACTCCGGTTGCTATTACTTCTCTCAATACCCTAACACCATTAGTTTATACACGTGTCATTTTGAAGTCATATCTGCTAGCTAATTTGAATGCATTGCAAGTTGTTATTACGGAATTACGCTGGAAGAACAAATTGGTGAGGTCCATGCGTGCACGTAAATTGCACCGGTATCCAAGCTCGGCCCTGGTTGTTGATTTGACTCTAGTGGAAACACCTTACGGAAGCTTCCCAAGCGCCTTGTCGCAAATATATATATATATATATATATATATATATATATATATATATCAGGCACTCTTACGTGATATCTTCTGTGACTAAATATACCGATATACTTTGCGCGTACCTCTGGTAAGCCGTACTTGCACCAAAGGCCTCAAATCCTGCCTCGCCCGTGTTCCCGTAGGACATTTCTGTTTGTAATGCAATGGCTTTTGTTCAGACTCCCTTACTTTCGACCTCCCTAAGAATACTAAGAAAAGAATAGCGGACATTATGTGCCTCGTTTTCTGTCTTTTTTCATGAATGTTAGTTCTGGATTGTAAGTACTATGTATACTGATTACACGGCTCACGCTAATCCTGTTATCAGTTATCCGGCCAGCGCTGGTCACTTTTCCAGTCTAGTAACAAGACTGATGGAGAACTACCAAAACTAGCTTGGGGACTAACTTTTGCTTCTACTGAATGCGAAATTCGTTGACAGAATAGTCGTAATTTCATGACCGGTGTAAACGACCGAGTTGACCAAATTGCTATGCTGTGCAAGCATGTCCAAATGGTCGGGCTCGCCATTGAATGATCAAATAACCGACCACGTTCCTGAGTACGCATTGGTCAAGTTACCAAGCGACTGCGATGTTCCAAATGTGGATGAGTGGTGTACAGGAATATTGAACTTACGGATGACTTAGTTAACGGGACAATTATGACTAACTTGTCTGTGTTGGTACATTTAACCTGTGATCATCATCTGGTGTGGCACTTTTTAACAAGCTTTCGTAATATACTCATCTTTGTTGATACGGTTTTACTCTTTTGGTTTGCGAGATGATCAAATTTTGGTCTTCCTTGGGCCTGCACAGGTGTGGAGCTACTACCTGGTGAGCGACTTCTTGACTTGGAGTATGCGGACGATATTGCCCTAATCTGTGACAGCCCCCAAACATGCCAAATAGCACTGGACCGATTAGCACTGGCTGTCAATCGTTTTGGGCTATGCTTTGCTCCATCGAAATGCAAAGTACTTCTCCAAGATTGGCAGGGACCCAACCCCGCGCTAACGCTTGGTGGAGATCTGCTAGAAGTCGTTCAGGAATTCAAGTACCTGGGCAGCTATATTAGCACCCGTGGGATTGAAGATGTGGTTACGAACCGTATAGCAAAAGCTCGAGATGGTTTTGCCAATCTCCGCCACCTGTGGCGCAGACGCGACATTACTCTCGCCCTCAAGGGCAGAGTTTATAACGCAGCCGTCCGTTCAACTCTCCTATACGGCTGTGAAACCTGGCCCATCAGGTCGACAGACATGAAGAGGCTCGTCACATTCGATCATCGTTGCCTTCGCAGCTTAGCTCATGTCTGGTGGGAACACCGCGTGCGCAATGAGTGTGTTCGTCGTCGCGTATTGGGTGCAGGAAGAGCGAGTGAACCGCTCAGGACCATTATGTCACGCACCAGGCTCCGATGGCTGGGCCACGTGTTGCGCATGCCAGCACACCGACTCCCGCGACGTGCATTGTTTGCGCGTTGTGGGCGCGGTTGGAAGAGGAGGAGGGGAGGCCAAGTGATGACTTGATCGAGAGAAATGAAAACCCTCACTTCGAAGTTGGCTTCGGTTGGTGCATCCCGACTGTCTGGCTGGGGTCCTAAGGACGGTGAACACGTTTGGTTGGACACACTTGCTGATATGGCTCGCAGCCGGCATCAACGGACTCAGCGGGCGTGCCACTGTTTTCCTTTTCTTGTCTTTTGTTTTGCGGCACAATAGCTGAGGTGGTTTCCACCTCCAGCTAACGTGTAATGATGATGAGGACTGCACAGAAAAAATTCGCATGCTCACCACGCGACATATTCTTCTATCCTTTCTGTCTATCTCAGTTTGAATGAGCTTGATGTAAATCGTAATTACTCCTGAACTGGATTTCTTAATCATTTTGTGTCTATTCTATACTGAACAAAGAAAAATTAACATTTTGAAGCTTAATCTATGAGTGACAACCCGTAGCCTTAAGGGCTTTGACAGTTAGCTAGTTACTGCTACTAATTGGATGAGTAGTTGAAGGGCGCATCATCATGAAGCTAGGTGACCGGAAGGTCGTAAAAGCGTTTCTTATTAAAATTCCTCGTAAATGAAGTTATTTTTCACTGATATCACCTCAAGCTTTCGTGGTTATTGAGCTTTAGTTGTGATAGATGGACATATGAGAAATAACGAAAATCAGTCTTTGTTGTGGGTAAGTACATTGAGGATACTATGGCTCGATATTCGCCCCTGGTTTTTATGAATGTGCGTCTAGGAATTCATAAGTTTGTGCAGTTCTGCATCGCTCATCAATTATTCTATCAAATACGTTGGCACGATATCGTTGCCACGTTTGGACACGTCTCATTGACAGAGTTTCGGGAACTGGTAACGAATAGCTTAATGCATGCTGATTCAGGCCAAATAGCTATCAGGGAGCTCTCAAACAATGCAACTATGTTTTAATTTAAGATCAACTAGATTGTGCAGTTTGACAACGATTAAAGAGCACCGGAAACTCACCGGAATTTCTCCGTCCGAATCGTTTTCTGACAACCGAGTTTAGTTTTGTGGACCGATGAAACGGCTCACTTTATCTGTGTGCAGTCATGTACTCTCACCCCAATGTGTGCACACAGCTACGTTGAGTACACACTGACTCGTTCAGCCCACGTAGCCTCCTGGTTGGTACCAGCACCTGCACCTGCACCTGCGCACATTCGCTGGCCTCTGTGCATGACCCATTCAATCGGCGGAATGCGAACTCGGTGTTGTCCTGTTTTGTATGCAGCCCACCAAACAGAGCGAGCCCAGGTTTTTGGTCACATCTCTCTCAGTTGAATGGCTAATCGTGTCAACAGTATTCTGACTGCAGCGAATGTGTAACCCATCACTTGCGAGTGACTCTGTTAATAAATAGTACCACTCACTCACATCAGATGCTGACCGGATATCGCTAGTACAAGGGAGCTTGCCTAGCCAACTTTTCCATGCACTTGAGATCTTCCCCTTGGAGTTCACGTTTAGCATTTTTACCGTCGAGTGAAATCGATTGTCCGAGATAACAGGGCATTATAGCCCGTCTAACAGCCTCTTGTTTTGGATGCAACTTTCAGGAGTAAAGCCATCCTTGCACAGGCTTTCAGGTGTAGTAGGCCTCGCTGAACTGAAAGCACAGCGTTTGCAATAAGCAACTAAGGACCTCGCCAGTATTCATGCTATCATTTCCCCAGTGTTAAATCTTATGTTAAGAGAGGCAGGTCATGCAGCCAAACGTCTGTCGAAGAGAAACGCATAAATATCAATAAAGGATAGCGGTTTTATTGTGTCGACCCCACGACTGTTTCCGCCCACTAACGGTAGTAAGAACACGAACGACGATCCGTGTGCAAGACAAGGTTACTCGTCGCCAGCCGAACCGGCAATCAAAAGACCGTGAGTACAACTCAACCGAATAATTCAAATCAGGCCATATATACAGGCCATAATGAAGTGCTGACATTCGGTCAATCAAGGATGATCAGTTTAAAGGCGAAAAATCGATGAGGTGCCTCACGAACAAGCAACATACGCAGAGTAAGAAAAAAAGCAACTAAGCCTTAACTTCAGTGTTAGTACATGCTAATCACAAATGTGACGTAAACAGAAACGCCGCGGGGAACCATAAAAGAGGGCGAGCTCAAAGGGGGTGTGTGTGGCAAACACACAAACAACGGGGAGTGGTGGACTTTTCTTACGCGCGCTACAATAGGTTTGGTGCTCAAAATGACCGCTATTTTGTACAAGAGCAATCGCGGTCCACGCTGAGATTGCGTATCATGTTCCAGGCAAGCGTCGTGCACTATGCTCCAATTGTATCGCATCCGCCTCTAGTGAGGATATCTACACGACCCGTGCCAGATGTTTTATGAATTCCATCGATTCGCGTAACTCGTGCACAGCTGTCCAGGGTTACAACTGAAGTTGCATATGATGGATGCTGCGGGCGTTCGAGCACAGAAATAAGTACTTCCAACAATGGCAAAGAGGTAAGTGAAAGTTGACAACTTCCATAAGTACCTGCGGTGGACAACTTTGTTTGAACGCTTGTCGGTCAGACAGAATTATGTAAGACATAAATGCTACCTTGTGGCGATCGTTCAATTCCATCTTAGCAATTGAAATTTCTTATTTCAGGTTCCAGTATTCATTGCCCAGTTCGTTTTAACTGAATGAAAATGGATAAATACTTTTCGAATTTCGATTTGACTTCTGGTTCCGGTTACGCGTGTCGTGTTGCCATTCGTCAGTCTGCTTGCATCGGTCATCGATCATCGGATCTACCACGCGGAATTTTCGTGCCGACTAAAAGCTCGTCCACCTTATCGGATTGTGTGGCCAGGTGACGGACTACTGAAGGTCAGGTCTAACATTCTTACCCCATGGAGTGGGAGTTCTTTCATTTAGCTGACCCCTTTTGGTTTGGTTTTTCCGCTACTTATTTAATGACCTCGGTTTCCATTTTTAATGCGCAGAACTCCTTTTTTGTGCATCTACAATATCGGCTCACTTTTCCTACACTGACATTTCAACAAATTTTGTTGCTCTTCCGTTGCCGGCCGTCGATTCATCCAACCTTGATGTGTGGATTGATAACTGGAAGATCTGTCTCTTATCCGCCGCATTACCTCACAGTAGTGGATGCTCGTACATGTTACTGCCCAACTTCCTACCCACATAGTAACTGACCTCATAGATCTGTTCGATCCGATTCCGGACGATGTGTCTTACGATAAGACAAAAGCCGCGGGTTTAAAACTCACCAGGGCTTCCGACGAAGCTCTACTGTGACAACTTCTTTCTGGTGTTGAGTTAGACGACCGCACGTCGCCACAACTCCTTTGGTACATGTGCACATTGGTTGGTTCCACTAAATTTGCTGATATTACTCTGCGTCTGCTGTGGACGAAATGTCTTTTACCGAACACTTTGTGATGGGAGTATGCACTCGAACGAACGTGCGGTGCCAGCCCAGCAAGGAAGCCGTTAGGCTGCCGCAAGGAAAGGCGACAGCTAATTGGACGTTCACACGTTTCTCGCATGCACGCTGATTGGCCAACAGTTGGACAGTTGTTTGACTGAATCAAAGGAAAAATGTCATGTATTCACAAAGGTCGTTATTTATGGATCCAACTAGCTGTATATAACGATAAGCTTCAATCGCCCTCTACCTGCGTCTTCGCCTGGTCCTTTTGTTTGCAGAATATACGTTTTGTCCCTGAAGGACCGACTTTTCACAACTTCATTTCTTCTTGCTGCATTCGCAGTTGATCGCTCCTTGGACAAGCTGGTGAGACAACCGCTAAAGTTTACAATTGCTCCTTCAAAAAGGCAATGTGTCACTCTGTAAAATCGACTACCAACGTTGCTAATAAGGATGACTCCAAGGAATCGATTTACGATGGGCTATCGAAGCTGGAACTGGTCATCTCGAATATGAATTGCTATCGGAGTGGAAATCCTAGACACATCTATCGAAGTAGACTTGATCGCTCTAGGAGTTCGGTACGCGAATTCTCTTGATACTATAAGCATTTTGGAGATGATGCAGGGAATTGTCGACCTGGTTGTAAGCACTAGAAGACATTTGCAACTTGCAGCAGGGAAACCTGCATACTAGCCAGTAATGGCGACAGCTGCGCCTGGCCACTCTTGTAGTCGCCTACGTTAAACCTTCGCTTCCTCAAGCAATTTGTAGTTCTCGGTTAACACCGGCGCCAAGGTTAGCGTTATTCCTCTTTCTGCAGAAAACCGCAACCTACTTCAAACCGGGCTGACATCCCAGGTGCCTAACAATAAATGCTTCATACCCACGGCTAAAAATGCCCACTCTCATCCTTGGTCGCCGTTGAAGTTCCCCTTTGTTTCGCTCCTCACTGACGCCCAATAGCCTATCCTGAATGTTGATTTTCTCCCCTAGTTTGGCTTCATAGTGGATCAACGTAATCGGAAACTTCGTGATAGTTTAACCTCATTGACCGTTACGGGTAAAGTCATTTCGATCAGTCTGACAGCGCTTCGCTGGGCATTAGCGCCAACAGCGTGTTCCCCGAACTATCTCTTCAGTTTCCTGCTCTCTATCAGTTGGATAATAACTTTCTTGAGCTTAAGCACAAAATTACACACCACAACATAACGCACAGATCTCCAGTGACGGCCCGACCTTGACCACTACCCGCAGACAAACTCGCCACTGCCAAGGCAGAGTTTGAACAAATACTCCGTCTCCGTATCGTTGGTCCTTCAAGAGCCGATGGTCGTCCGCGCTCCAAATGGTTCCTAAAAAGTCCAGTGGCCACTGGTGGCCTTGTGGAGGTTACAGGTCACTAAACAATGCCACTGTCCCCGACAGACATTGAATTCCGCAATTTGATGAATTTTCGTTTTGTCGGCATGAAAGAACAATGTTTTCTAAGATAGACGTAATGTGTGCCTACTACCAAACTCCGGTTACCTCTGACAATATCCCGAAGATCACTAGAACCACATCATTTGGTCTTTATGAATTCGTTAGCACGCCGTTTGGTCTACAACATGCCACACAAACTTTTCAAAGGTTCATCCATCAGATCCATAGAAGAATCGACTTCTTCTTCGCCTACGTTGACGAGATTATTGTACCCAGTTCCAATCATGATGAGCTTCTATCAGACCTTCGATCAGTTTTCGAACGCTTCTGTCAGTACAACGTAACGATCAATGGCTACAAGTCTGATTTGATTTTTATTGCATTTTTGGGCCAATGGTATGCAACATTATTAGTTTACTTCCAGAAAATACACATCGATTGCAAATTACTCCATGCCGCAATCTGAAAGGCATACGTCGATTTCTCGACAAGCTAACATACTACAACCGCTTCATACCAAAGTGTCCTGGGATACCCCAGCCATTGACCGATTTGCTTAAGGGCAATTCGAGGAAATTCGAGCCCACCCAGAAAGTGAATGACGCATTTGAAAAGCTCAAGCACGCTTTGTCCAACTCTACCCCGCTTAGTCATATTTAAAGACTAAGGTTAATACCATCTTCTATTTAGGAGTAATGAATCTCAAACCGCCGCTGGCGCTGTATTCCAACAAGTAAATAATGATCAACCTCAGACCCTTATCACTTTTCTCTCACGAACTTCAGCCCACACTGACGCGATACAACACATTCGGTCGAGAACTTTAGCTTTCGACCTCTGAATCTGTTTAAAGGTCACACGTTTACCATTTCGCGAATTACGAACCCCTTGCTCTTGCTATACATGTGTCGTCCGACCGTTTCTCCCCTAGAGGAATTCGTCATTTGGCTTACATCTCACAGTTTTCAACCGACATTTGTTACGTTGATGCTACAAACAACGTTGTCGTCGATGCAATATCGCGTATTTGTCTTTACGATGTTGCACGCCAGACGATAAAATTAGAAGACAGCAGCTCGTCAGGAACGAGGCTCTGAGTTTGTGCAACTGGGATCAAATCCATCGAGCAAACTACCACAGTTTCCAATTCTTAACCCAGACTCTACCTGTAAGCTCCGGCCCT